GCCCTCGGCCCGGCCAACAGTGATGTAATAGTTGGGTAGTCGACAAAAAAAAATTTAAAAAAAAATAATAATAATAATAATAATTTACCTTAGTATTTCATAAATTCAACATAAAAAGTACTGTAAAAAATGAAGACGATTGAACACAACAAAACGAAAGTAACTTAGTGAAATAAAGATTCAGCATGCAGTTTTCAAAATAAAATTAAGAAAGATATTTGATAACACCTGATTTTGACCACTTTTCACCATTGATTTCAAATGCTTTTTCAAATGTTTTACTTTGTTTTAGGAACTTTTATTATGATTTCCATGTATTCGTAGTTTCAAGGCTCTTTTCAGGAAACTTAGAGAATATGATGGCAAAATGGAAGCAGTCTACATTTTTAACTCAGAGTCAGATCGCCAGAAGTTCAGCCTCAAATGAAGACTTTCTCACCGTCCGATCCAACTCAAATTTGTAGAAAATCAAGAGGAGGCAATCAGCTTTCCATAGCACTTTACATCACAAAGATCATAAGATGCAATCAAAAGATACATGGAGAACATGTTGACCCAGTTCACCAGTCTCGGAAGACTCTCACCTGCAGGAAACACATGTTTTACCTGCCCTGGAAGACTCTCACCCCCAGTGGACCTTAGGACGAGCCACAAGGCCCAACATCAAAGCCCCCTTCGCTATTTCTCTTCAGAGAAACCCTAAATGAGACCTGGAAGACCTTAGGACCTATAAATACATTGTTTAGCAGCCCTAAACGGGTGTGTGCTCCTGTAATGAGATTTTGAGCCACCAAACTTTATTTTACTAGGGTTAGGTGATGGAGATGGGGATTCTTCCCCAGATTCATTGTTCTTCCTCCTTTTTATCTTATTAACTTTTCTGTTTCATTCTTTTGCATTTTTCTATGTCTTTCATCATTCACTGCATCATGTAGATTAGTCCCAGAGAGTCAAGTTGTTTGAAGATATCGACAAGCATATATATCGATTAGGATTTTTTTGTTCTTAGCCATATTCTGGATCTCATCTCTTTTAAGTTATTCGTAAAGCATGAGAGTAGATTCAAGACCTATTCTCTGAGCCTAGGATCGATCAGAGCCACGAGACTGCTGTATCAGATCATCCATACCTAGTTTCAGAAGAACATAGTCGTTATACGAGTCGAAAGCTACCTATAGAGAAGATATGAGCAGACGAATTCAATATTCAATGCATGATCTTAAGTTTAGCATGAGAGAGAATTCAAAAAGTTTGTGAAGTCCATTCCTCTCTATCTCGCATTCGACGATGTCTGGAAGCAAGGCTGCCTTCTAGTCTTCTTTAGATACAGCAAGGAGACAAAGGAGAACATCTCTACATATTTCAGAAGAGCCATGTATCTATCTTTTCCTAGATCATCACCTGATGCAGCTGTTTACAAGATCCACCTCAAAGATCCCTAAGAAGCTAGTGATTACACAAACAAGATCAGCAAAGAAGCACTTGAAGAGTTCAACCAAGTAGTTCAGATCCTGCCAGAAGGAATTTTGTTTGCCAAAGCATGTAGAGACTACATGATCGGCCACTTCTTTTGTAACAGCAAAGAATCTATCCAAGAGATGAAATACTTGTTCACACACGCCCAAGAAGGTAGACCAGTTTGAACTCTGCACAAAGTTCAAAACAAAGGTCAATTTCTTATCTCTTGTGACATTAGAGGTGAAAGATTCCTCAATATTCTTTGTGATTCTGGAGCTTGCATTAACATGATGTCCAAAGCAACTGCTTTGAGACTTGGCATTAAGCACATTTCAAGTACCAGGACAAAGATTAGCTTAGCAGATGATTCAAGTGCAACACCAAGAGGGATACCCCGAGACATTCCTCTAAGGATTGGAGATTGCATTGCACCTGTCGATTTATACATAGTGAAGACCAAAGATGACTCTTATCCAGTTATTCTTGGATGGCCTTTCTTAGCAACTGCTGGAGCCATCATGGATTGGCCCAGCATGCGAGTTTCCTTTGCCAATATCGACAAGGACATCTTCTATGAAGCTACACCACTTAAGAGAAAAAGAGGAGAGCAAATAGCCCAGGCATTTGAACCAGAAGAACTCTAGAGTGATGAAGAACCTGCAAGACAGAACAGGAGGATTTCGAAAAGGACTTGTCTTAGGACCAGATCCTGTTTGAACTAAGTCTTTTTCTTTGCAAAGTCTAGCTAAAGACTATAAACCAAAGCGCTTGATTGGCAACCCATTTTAGGTACTTATTTGTTTTTGCTTAAGCGTTATTTTTCTATTAAAAGTTTTGTTTTTCTTATTTTAGACAGGCCTTAGTATGCCATAAAAAAAAGAAGAGAAGAAAAGAAGCTGACCGCGGCCAAAAGAGGTTCGGCCGCGACCAGCAAGTGTTAGGACACCTTGGCAACCGCGTGACGTCCTCAACCGCGGCCACCTTGGCCACTTCCATCTTTCATTGGCCACCTGAAATTCATCCTTGGGTACTTTCACCACCACCACCACCGCCTTGTTCAAATCAGTTTTGGATCCCTAGCATCCAGGTTTGATCAAGCATCACCACCACAACCACATCACAATCCATCACCAACACCAGGTAAGTTTTCTTTTCCTTAATCTTTTTAATCTTTACATACTTTATTTCTCATCCTTGCCTGATTTATTTCACACTGGGGGCAGTGTGATTTAAGTCTGGGGAGGATTTCATCCCTTTCTAACCACCTTTTTGTTGGGGTCGGTTTTCACCCCAAGTAGATAAACCACCTCAGAATGGCTAAGTATGGAAGAAGGATAAGTGGGAGAGCCGTGGTCGCCAAGTGGGAGAGCCGTGGTCGCCAAGTGGGAGAGCCGTGGTCGCCAAGTAGGAGAGCCGTTCTCACCATGACAAGTGGAGAGCCGTTCTCACCAAGGCAAATGGGAGAGCCGTGCAGATAGGCCAGTAGGGAGAGCCGTGAAAGAAGACAGGTGGACCGAGCCGCATCGAAAGAAATGGGCCGAGCCCCACTTCAACACGTTTGGGCCGAGCCGTGTATCGGTGCGGTGGGCTAGATCATGTCTCCATGGCAAGTGGGCCGAGCCGTGAAGAAGGCTAGATGGGCCGAGTCGTAAAGAAGCTTGGACGGGCCGAACCAAAGCCTTGGGAGATGAAGCCCGTGGAAAACCCTAGGCGAGATGCAAAGGCGGTCAGCCGCACGAGGCGATAAGGAAATATTCCGAAAATCTCGCCCGAGATTTTTGGCTAGGCGGTTTAGAAAGTTAGTATAAATATATGATGTATGCAATTCCTTCCGCCAATTTTTAGCAACCCTAAGCAATAAGAGCAAAACACCTTCACAGCAATAAAAATATTCTTTTGATCTTACTGTTCTTGCGATTACCTTAGAAGTTTCAGATCCCTAAGTTTCTCTTCACAAATTCTTGATTGTGCAAGTTTTGGCTCGCACAATTTGGCGCCGTCTGTGGGGAATCGAATCTTTCTTACTCTAAATCGACAAGACTTTAAGATCCGAAGAACATGGCAAGCAACACCCCCGACGACAACAACAACAACAACACCGGTAACGGCGCGGAGAAGGACGCTCTGGCATCGGGCACAACGACGGCGACGACCGAAACCCAAGAGGAGATGCGATACATGATGGCTGCGTTGATGAAGAAAATTGACGACCAAGACAAAAGAAACGAGGCGATTACGGCGAGGCTCGACGCGATGGCGGCTGAGCGACAACACTCAACTTGGAGAGCCGGAATCCCTGACCCGATGGATGGAATTCGAAGACGCTTCGATTTCTCGACACCCGCAGAAGCCTCAGGGAGTGGCGCAAGAAATTCCTCGGTTCTTCGTCCCCTCGACGAACGTACTCCCGCAGCAACCCGAATCAACATGACCGAGCCGCCTCCACTACGCCGGAACTCCAGGCGACGAGCCGGTGAGGAAGAGGACGTTGCGATTGACGTAGACGCCCAGCAGAACGACGAAACCACGAATCCTCAATAAACTGGCTCGGCTCGCCGAATTAGTCGAGAAGAACTCGCCTCGGCACTAAACGGCATCCGGACTGACGAAGTCTCCGATCCGACCCACGGCGATAATCCAACCGAGGTGGAGTTAAACCTCCAATGGATCGAGCAGGCAGAACGCGAAGACGAGCCGAGACGAGAGGAGCGGGAGCGACCCCCCCAATCAAAGGGAATGACTCACGCACAAACTCTCGAGCTCAAAGAGCTGGGAGCCTCGATGGCTCGGACAGTGGCTGAAATACGAGCCATCAAATCTCAAGTGCACAACGCGACGAGCGCCGTGCCCGAAATCGACCGAATGCTTGAAGAAACTCAAAGAACCCCGTTCACTGCAAGAATCACGGAGGCCAGGATTCCCGAGCCGGAAAAGGTGAGAATCCCGTTCTACGAAGGAACAACCGACCCAAAAGCACACATCACCGCGTTTCGGATAGCAATGGGACGAGCCTTCACAAAGAACGCCGCTAAACTCACCGAGCGCAAAGTGGATGCCGGATACTGCCTGCTCTTCGTGGAACATCTCAAAGGAGCCGCGCTCGAATGGTTTTCGAGGCAGGAGCGCAATTCGATCGGCGGTTTTCAACAGCTCTCCGCTTTGTTCCTCAAACAATACTCGATGTTCATGGACAGAGGAACGTCTGATGCCGACCTGTGGACACTATCCCAAGGACCGAACGAGCCGCTTCGAGATTACATGACAAGGTTCAAGGCAGTCGTATCCAAAATAGAAGGGATAAGCGACAAGGCTGCGCTCGAGGCTCTGAAACGATCTTTGTGGTACAAGTCTGAGTTCCGACGGGAGATGGCTCTCAACACGCCGCAAACAATTCAAGACGCTTTGCACCGATCATCAGACTTCGTCGGAACGAAGAGGAGATGAAAAGCTTAGACGAGCAGTATGAAGCAACGAAAGCAGCAATCTGAAGCTCAATTTTGCCGCGCCTCACGAAGAAGGGCAACCCATCAAACAATACAACAATGTCAAGCTCGGATGAACCTAGAAGCGGAGGAGCCCATAACTACCAGGTGGGCGTCGGACGCGGAAGAGGAGAGCCGCGCAACAACACTTGGTTGAGAAAGTCCGCCAACTACGACGAGAAGGCTTTCTGCGAGTATCACCAGACCTACGGGCATCCAACGGCTCAATGCCGAACTTTAGGAGCAAAGCTCGCAGCAAAGATGGCAGCGGGAGAGCTCCAAAACGCGGTCAGCATCAAAGACCTCGTCCCTAACGAACAACAAGAGAGAGCCGAGCCGAGCGGCGCGGCGGAACCCGCGAATCCTCCCCGACGAGGCGATAACCCCAAGCGTGACAGGAGAGGCGAACCTGAAGAGCGACCCGAGCCGAGGCAGAGGATCAATATGATCATGGGTGGATCCCAATACTACCAAGATACCGTATCCTCCATCAAAGCCTATCAGCGCCGAGCCGAAGCGAAGGAGAATTGGACAGAACCAACCGACATCCCAAACACAGTGATCTCTTTCGCCGAGGAGGAAACGGCAGGAATCGATCGACCTCATAACGATCCGTTGGTGATTGAGTTAACGATCAGGGATCATGACGTACCAAGGGTGCTCATCGATACTGGAAGGTCGGTGAACGTTATCTTCAGGGAAACACTCAGAAGAATGGGAATCGACCTCTCCGAGGTCGAAGCAATCCCCAAACCTCTAACCGGATTTTCAGGAGAAACGACGATGACTATGGGAACGATCAGGCTTCCTGTGGTAGCTGGCGGAGTCACTAAGATCGTCGAATTCTGCGTCACCGATCACCCAGCAATATACAATGTGATCATGGGAACTCCGTGGATCAACGAGATGAGGGCGGTACCCTCTACCTATCATCTCTGCCTCAAATTTCCAACCCCAGCAGGTGTTAAAACGATCTGGGGAGTCAGAAGGAGTCACGAATGTGCTGCCTAGCCGAGCATAAGCTAAGGAACCCCGTCACCGACGCACGAGCAGACATCGACCGCAAAAAGATGAAGCCAGACCGAGAGCCCGCGAACGAGCTCTCGAAACTCTTATAGCAATTACAAATCGCGAGAGCCGCGAAACACGCGCCGAACCAGTATGCGACGCAGTGGACTCGGTATGTATAGATGAGGCGCGCCCGGAGCGATGCGTCGAAATAGGAACAAAACTGGAAGAGCCTCTGAGAAGCGAACTCCTTTCCCTCCTCAAGGAAAACATCAACACTTTCGCCTGGACAACAGAAGATATGCCAGGCATAAGCATCGACGTGACCTGTCACGAGATGAATGTGGATCCAACCTTTAAACCAGTGAAGCAGAAAAGAAGGAAGCTCGGCCCCGAACGAGCTAAATCAGTTAACGACGATGTCGAAAGGTTACTCAAAGTAGGATCAATCGCCGAGGCCAAATATCCGGACTGGCTCGCAAATCCCGTGAAGAAGAAGAACGACAAGTGGCGAGTATGTGTGGATTTTACTGACCTCAACAAGGCGTGCCCAAAAGACAGCTTTCCCTTGCCACACATAGACCGGCTCGTCGAAGCCACTGCAGGGAATAGATTGTTAACATTTATGGACGCGTTCTCCGGCTACAATCAGATCCTGATGCATCCTGATGATCAGGAAAAAACGGCATTCATAACTGATCGCGGGATATACTGCTACAAAGTCATGCCGTTCGGGCTCAAGAACGCAGGAGCAACGTATCAACGGCTCGTCAATAAAATGTTCGCGGCTCAGCTCGGAAAAACTATGGAAGTTTACATCGACGACATGTTAGTTAAATCACTCAAAGAGGAAGACCACGTCGCGCATCTACGGGAATGCTTCGAACAATTGAACAAGCACGACATGAAACTAAACCCGGCGAAGTGCAGGTTTGCGGTCACCTCGGGAGAATTCCTCGGCTATCTGGTAACTCACCGAGGCATAGAAGCAAACCCCAAGCAAATCAAGGCGCTAATTGAGATGCCCTCTCCAAGGACGAAGCGCGAAGTGCAAAGGCTCACAGGTAGAGTCGCCGCGCTAAACAGGTTTATTTCCCGCTCCACAGACAAGTGGCTGCCTTCTACGACACCCTCCGAGGAAACAAGAAATTTGAGTGGGACGAACGATGCGAGACGGCTTTCAAGGAATTGAAGAGTTATCTGGCGAGCCCACCAATCTTAGCAAAACCAGTCGAAGGAGAGCCGCTCTTCCTCTACATCACAGTGTCTGCTACAGCTGTAAGCGGAGTGCTTATCAGAGAAAAACGGTCCGAGAAAAAACCCATTTTTTACATCAGCAAGACACTGACCGACGCCGAGACTCGCTACCCCCAGATCGAGAAGGTCGCCCTAGCCGTCGTAGTCTCGGCTCGCAAACTGCGCCTGTACTTTCAATCACATTCGATTTTTGTGCTCGCTACGCTCGATCCTACACAGCCCTAGCCAATCCGGTCGGCTCGCCAAGTGGGCGATAGAGCTAAGCGAATACGACATCGAGTATCGGAATAGGTCGTCTGCAAAGTCACAGGTGCCCGCAGATTTCCTCATTGAACTTCCCGCCGAAGCAACGAACTTGCCGACTCTAGGTGAAGTGTGGACGCTGCACGTCGACGGCTCGTCGTCTAAACACAGCTCGGGAATAGGAATCCGCCTCACCTCTCCCACCGGAGAAATATTGGAGCAGTCTTTTCGCCTGAACTTCCACGCCTTGAACAACAAAGCGGAATACGAAGCACTGATCGCCGGCATACGACTAGCGTAGGGAATCGGAGTTCGAAAGATTAGAACCTTTTGCGACTCACAGCTCGTAGCATGCCAATTCAACGGAGAATACGAGGCGAAGGATGGACGAATGGGAGCTTACCTCAGAGTGGTCCGAGAGTTGGTACAAAAGTTTGATGAGTTCGAACTCACGCGCATTCCCTGAGGAGAAAACACCTCGGCCGACGCCTTGGCAGCACTGGCCTCGACCTCGGACCCAGACCTCCGACGAACGATCCTAGTTGAATTCATCGAACGTCCTAGCATTGAAGAGGTGGAAGGATTTCGGTTGATAAATCCTCCCGAACAAGAACCAGAGGACGACGAAGCCATTCCTATGGACGAAGACCCTCAACAGACCGAGCCAGAGTATGGCTGCGACAAAGAATGGCTCGGAGCTATCCGAGTGTATATCGTCGACGGAGAGTTGCCAATTGAAAAATGGGAAGCCCGCAAACTAAAAGCTCAGGCCGCACGATATGTCCTCGTCGATGGCGAGGTGTTTAAATGGAGATTTTCAGGGCCTCTCATGACATGCGTCGAAGGACCGGAGGCAAGAAAGATCATGCACGAGGTGCACAGCGGCGCGTGCGGGAACCACTCCAGCGGAAGGTCTCTTGCTATCAAGATAAAACGGCACGGCTATTTCTGGCCCACGATGGTCAAGGACTGCGAGAAATTTACGGCGAAGTGCGAGAAATGTCAGCGGCACGCTCCAACAATACATCAACCTACCGAGTTGCTCTCGTTAATTTCGTCACCTTATCCGTTCATGAGATGGTCTATGGACATCGTCGGACCTCTACATCGCTCGAAGCAGAAGCGTTTTCTGCTCGTCCTCACGGATTACTTCTCCAAGTGGGTCGAGGCCGACTCTTACGCAAGCATAAAGGATGTTCAAGTCGAACACTTCATCTGGAAAAATATCATCTGCCGCCACGGGGTCCCTTACGAGATAGTCACCGACAACGGATCCCAGTTCATCTCAACACGCTTCGAAGCCTTTTGCGAAAAGTGGAAAATCCACCTCAGCAAATCTACGCCAAGATACCCTCAAGGGAACAGACAAGCCGAAGCAGCCAATAAGACGATCCTCGACGGTCTGAAAAAGAGGCTCGACGCCAAGAAGGGACGGTGGGCAGACGAACTCGAAGGAGTCCTTTGGTCTCATCGGACAACTCCGCGCCGAGCCACCGGGGAAACTCCATTTGCTTTGGTCTACGGATCGGAGTGCGTAATTCCCCCCGAAGTGGATTTCCCAGGTATCCGACGAAGACTTCTACCAGGACAGGAGGGCTTGAACCACTTAATGATGCTAGATGAGCTCGACCTAATCAACGAGAAGCGCGATCAAGCCTTAATTCGAATCTAGAACTATCAACAAGCGACGGCGAGATACTACAACAAAAACGTTCGAAGTCGAAGATCAAAACAGGGAGCTCGTCCTCCGAAAGGTCTTCCAAAACACTGCCGAGAAGAACGCAGGAAAGCTCGGAGCAAATTGGGAAGGTCCTTACAAGGTCACAAAAGTGATTCGTCCAGGAATCTACGAACTCGCGACACTAGCTGACGAGGCGATTCCAAGATCGTGGAACGCAATGCATCTGAAAAAATACTATCACTAAGAATGCAGCACGACCAGCATGAACTACGGGACGGCTTGATCCCTGCAAAGGGTACGTAGGCAGCCCGTCTTCGGACGGGTTCAGCTGTCCCCCCTCCTAAAAAGGGGGGGGAGTGGGTACGTATACACATACCTCCTTTAACTCTACTATTTTGACTTGCTCACTTAGGAACGTCGCCACTTCGGCATATTCTCAGTTCGTTTTTAATTATCTACTTATTTCACTTTTACCCTTGATTTCTGGTTCGTTTATTATCGCTTCGGCTAGCTTCACATTGTAACAAACTCGGATTTTTGAATTCTTTAACTCACCACTTCGGCATGATATCATGACCTGATTACCTTGGACCTTTAACGGTCCTCAATTTCAGTTCGGCAAACTAAGCCTTCGAATGCCTCGTCTCGTTGCTGGCCACAACGGGGCAACAAGTACAAAGTTCTCTAAACGAACTTTTACCACCTTTCCTAGGACGAGGGTGCAAGTTACATCCTCTACGGATAAAAATCAAAGCGCGCTATACAAATATCATACCAAAAACGTATCAGGTCGCCACGGTTTACTATTGCACACGAGAATATAAGTCGAGACTACATCGCTTTCTCTAAAACCGAAGTAAAACTCTTAAACCCGGATAAACATACTCGTCCTCTCGAGAACACCGGTCCATAGACAGGTTCGATAACACTTCATCCTTGGCTAACAAAAGCAAAACGCCTCGTCATTTTCACACCTTGGCATCATTGAAAACAAAAACGCCTCGTCGTTTTCACGGCTCGGCACCATTCAAAACAAAAACGCCTCGTCGTTTTCACGGCTCGACACCATTCAAAACAAAAACGCCTCGTCGTTTTCACGGCTCGGCACCATTCAAAACAAAAACACCTCGTCGTTTACACGGCTCGGCAACATTCAAAGCGAAAACGCCTCGCTGTAAACACGGCTCGGCATTACCAGCAAAGATTTGCCTAAACATTATCACGTAACACTCTTTTACTATCAAAGATTTGCCTAGAACCTAAACGAGGTCCTTAAAACAATTCATCCCTTAACCCATGTTTCGGTCAATTTTGAAAATACAGTTAAGGAAGAAATCAAAATCGCTCTCAACATAACAGCCTTCGTCCTCGACAATTTTTCGTAAACATTTTTACGGATTAATGGACAAGTAAGTCCGAAAACGGCTAAGGAAAATATATTCATTAAGCGAAAATAAAGAGTCGGGTGGATAAAGCCGTCCAGGCACAGAACACATAAAAGTTCAAAAGAGAGCGGATAAAATCCTAAGTACAAAAGCAAGCAAGAAAAATTTGTGAGCCAAAACTCATGCCGCGGACTGCGTTTCACGATCGGCGAGAAGGTTCTAGGGAATCGGCGTACCCGCGTTCGAGCCATTCGGGTCCACAACACCTAAATTGGCCGCTGTTTCTTCGAGCGGCTCGTTGCCGAGGGTGGTGTCGACCTAGTCCGGCGATACGGGAGAGTAATACAGTTCGCCCCGAATCTCGGAAGCAATACGCTCGTACGCCTCGTCGTCGGCATACTCACTCTCCCAGCTTTTCAGCTTCGCCTCCTCGTCGT